AAGAAACTTTGCAGTTGTTTCGTGGTGCGGAGAGTGGCCCATTCCAAAATGGCGCATACTTTCCCCAGATCCATTTCTATGCCATCATGTGATGTTGTGGCTCCGATTCCCGAGCCTGTGCTGTCAGAGGAAGAGGACTTGGAAGATGGGGAGGAAGAACTGGGAATGCCTTCCTCCCCAGGACCTTCCTCTCTGGCAGTGCCTTCCTCCCTGATAATGCCTCAGGTTTCATCAGACAACCGAGAGGAACAGCCTGAGATTAATCAGGAGGAAGGCATATCGGAGCAGCCCCTGACAGGGAGTCAAGAGGAAGAATGTTGGCTTGATCCTAAGCAGCGTCGTAGGGAGAAACGTGAGCAGCAACGTAGGAGGCGTGGGAGGGTCAGAGAGTGAGCTGAGTCATTGAGCCACACCCCACAGGGGATAAAAGTGGGTGTGTTGTCGGCTGGAACTTTGTATGGGACAAAGTTTAATCTTACTTCAGGTTTTCTTTGTGAATGATTTTTGTGGCCTTGTAATTTTCCGTGAGTAGCTTTTTACTTGTTATCAGTTCGGACTTGGCAGGCAGAGCCTGTTGGAATGCCAAGGACATTATCAGTTCCATAGAATTAACTCTGTGAAGTCCGAGCCAGCTTGCCTGCCTGTGTTTGTGTGAGTTTGTACTCTTTCATCTTTTGGGAAAGAAGAAAGGTGAGACAGAACAATGTGATATGCGATAGCCTTTAGTCAATTAAAAAATTAAAATTTAAAAATGAAAAAAAATAGTCAATTTTTTCCTGGTGGAATTCACATTTGGAGAACTTCACGTACAGCTCAGCAGCTCAAAGTTTTTCCAGAACTGAATGCACTAGTTTCACATGTTCATCATGACTCTCCGTGTAGACAAGAATAAACCAGCACCCCCTTATATAAATGTTCGTGCAGAACCTGATTTATCATTTGCATGAATACTGCAGGTGGGCCCTGTAGGCCAAATGGAAGAACGTTGAATTGGAAAGACCCCATTGGGCAGTTAAAAGCGGTTTTCCATTCATCTCCTTCCTTAATTCAAACATGGTAGTAAGCTTCTCTCAGATCGAGTTTTGTGAAAATTTTCCCTTTGACTAAGTGGGCCAACATATCCTTCATCAAGGAGAGGGGGTACATGTACTCCACCGAAATTGCATTGAGGTTCTGGTAATCCACACACAAATGAAGAGAGCCATCTTTCTTCTCATGGAATAATACTGGGGCCGCTACTCAGGGCCTAGCAGGTTGGATGAAACCACATTCCAAATTTTTATCAATGAATGACCACAGCTCTTCTAGCTCCCGCATCAAGTACAGTTTTGGTTTTGGGAGTTTCACTCCTGGCAAAATTGCAATACTGCAGTCTGTTGAGCGATACAGGGGAGCTCGTCCAAGGCCTTCTCACTGAATACCTCCTTTAAGTCCCAATATTACTCTGGAATTTTCTCCTCCCCCAACAGATTCTCAGTGCCAGTGGAGGCCAGCTCTGTGGGGGTTGGTCAGTATGTATGCGCAATGATCCCCTCCTCCAGTCAACGTGGGGGTTCCATTTCTGGAGCCAGGGCAAACCCAGTATTAGGGGGCACTCCATCCCAGGAGCCACAATAAAACACAAAGTCTCTCTATGCTTCCCCATCATCATTTCTACTGGTTCCATTATGAAATGTGCAGGACTGCCACCAGTTGGCAAAATGCTAATGGCTTTTTTAAAGTCTTTAGCCTTAAGCCCATTTTCTCTACTACTTCCGAGCTGATTATGCACCTTGTGCACCCAGAGTCTAACAAGGCCAACTTTTTCTCTTGGGCTCCTGACATGGGTACCGTTAATCTCACTGGAATGGTCATAGGGCCCTTGTTTGGACTTACCAGTGAGTTGTCTTCTGATTTGGGTTCACTCTCTTCAGAAGAGGTTGGAGTTCCCAGCTCCTCTCCTTTCGGAGGGGCGATCTCTACAACCTCGTCCACTTTAAGCGCCTTTTCGCGAGGCTTTGCTGGAGGGTTTTCAGGTTTTGTTCCTCCTCCTGGCGCCTCCTTTGGTTCCAGCTTGGCAGTCTGCAGACCGGTGACCTTCCTTCTCACATCGAAAGCATGCAGTGGTCTTGGGTTTTGCCGCCAACCCTCCCTTTTGAGGTTTTAAGGCTTCTCAAGAGCTGGTGGGGGCTGACTTGCTCCAACCAAGGCCCCCCGGCATCTGTTTCAGGTCAGATCAATTTCCACCTCTGCTGCCAGCACGTACCACAGCTGCAGCTCACTGGGGTCACTTCTGGCAATACAGCTTTGATAAACGTCTTCATTCAAACCATCTTTAAAAGCTTCAATCAGGGCTCCCTGGGACCAGCCTCGAATATGGCACACCAGCTCTCTAAATTCCTGGGTGTAATCGGCCACTGATCTCCACCCGTGATTTATGGTTTTCATCCTAATTCTAGCCTTACGTTCAGCAAGTGGGTCTTCAAATCTGGCCCGCAGTACAGTCATGAACAGGTCATAATTCATCAGCTAAGGGGGCATTATCATTATGCAAAGTCACCATCCACTTTGCAGCTTCCAGAGCCCTTGTAACACATCTCACTTTGGCTGTTTTCGAGGAAAAATTATCCCCATATTCCTCCATATGGTTCCAGACTTGTGCCAGGAAGAATCCTAACTCCTTGGGACCCCCCCCCCTATATTTTACGTCCAACGGAGGCACCTTTGGAGTTCTACGCCTTCTGGCAATTACTCCCCCCACCAGGGGGCCCTGGGCTGCTGCTGCCTGTTGCAGTGGCCCAGGTTGATTTATGGGGTAGCTGCTCTGATTCTTCTGACTGGAGCTGCCTCCCCCTCTTCCCTCTCATACCTTTGATCAGTCTGAATTTCTCTGACAGCTTCATTTAGAAGATGCAGGGCTTGAGTTAGTAAAAACTTCCTTCTTTCCTTCTCTTGCCATGGCTCTTCTCTTCCACACCAATGGGCAGTGGTCACTCCTGGAGGGGGCTTTTCCTCAGGATCCTTCCAGCCGATTCCCAGGGACTATTTGGAATTTACAGCTGGTTTTTTGCCAAGACTGAAATCTGCTAACAAGTCTGCTTCCCCTGCCACCTCTAACAGCAGGGAATCTGGTCCTGCAGTCACTCCCAGGTCTTCTTGGTCGCTGGCTGGATTAGACATTGTGTTCAGACCCCCTCAGAAGAAAATTTATTAATTCTCCGGGTGGGCTGGTAAAGTGAGATTCAGAATAATGTCAGATGGTACTCCATTCAAAATCCAAGAAAGAAATACTTAGACTCCATTAATTAGAGAAAAGATATCTTTTACTGGAAATCAAGTGGTAGCAACAAAAGAATTCTGAATCTGAGAAAATGAGCACATAAACGCAGGCAAAGCCACCGCAGCGGTAGCATCCTGAGTTGCCTTAGCATGCTTGGTTAGTTAAGAATCACCCTACCCAGAGAAAGAAGTGGGGCTGAAGGAAGAGGAGGCAGATAGTGGAGAAGCAAGCAACTCAGGGGGCTACTGCTGTGGCAGCTTTGCCTGCGTTTCCGAGGCTTCAATGTTGGGAGAGACAGCAAGGGCTGGAAAAGGGGAGAGCTGTGCATGGCTCCGTCTCCCTTTCCTTTCTGCCTGCACATGGGGGGGGCGGAGGAAAGAGAGAGAGCCGGGAGCAATTCAAAGCTAGAAAACTAATGGGGAGAGCTGACAGCGGGTGCTGGGGGAGGGGTCTGTTGTTGCCACCACCTCTGTGTGTGGGAGCGTGCATCTCAGGGACCTGAGCCGAGAGGCACGGGAACTGCAAGTGGGAGTGTTTGATGATTTCGAAGAACTCCTGGAACATGGTAGATTAGCGTTTCGTAGGTCTCAGTGAAAGAGTGAGCTTTGTTTCGTCTCCTTTCCTTCCCTGGTAATGCGAGAGATGCTTTCTCTCCCCCCCACCAACCCGAATTAATCACCAAGAGCGGCAGTCCTTCTTTAGGCAGATGCCTGCTGAGAAGCCCCTGGAGTGGCAGCCAAGGGGCGCTGCCCCCCAAGGAGAGCAAAGCCCCCTTTCTGCCTCTGCTTCTCCTAGCGGCAATTGCCCCAAGGCCCCTCAGCTCAGACACACACTCACACACCCCTCCCGCTCTTCTGTCTCTTTGGAAAGTGCCAGGTGGGGGGAGGCTTCCAGCCCGGAACTTTTTATTTTGTTATCATTAAGCATTTACATTTTTGTTATAATTAAATAAGTAAGTGTGTGTGTGTGTATGTGTGTGTGTATCATGTATGTTTGTGTGTGTGTATGTATGTATGTATGTATCTATGTATGTATGTATCTATGTATGTATAATATAAATATAAATTTATATTTAACATTAAAAAATATATTAAATGTACTAGCTTTAAAAAAAATTCATATTAGTGGTCCTCGGGATTTAAAAGTATGAGTTTGGTGGTCCCTGAGATCTAAAAGGTTGGCAACCCCTGGTCTAGAATAGTATGCGGTCTCCTGCTTGAGGAGCGGGTTGGACTAAAAGACCTCCCATGTTCCTTCCAACTCTGTTATTCTCTTATTCTTTTTTCTGGTCAGCAGAATAGCAGAAGGGATGGGGGAGCAGAGAAGACTGGATATGGGGTAAAGAGAAGAGTTAATTGCATTGGGAAAGGAAGAAACAGAAAGGTTGCACTGGGATGAGGGGAAGAAGGTAATTAGAGAAGGAAAGAAAGAAAAGAAAGAGAAAACCTACCCAGGCATTACCAAAAGGATTAAAAATAATTAGACATGCAGCAGGGAGGAACCCAATTGGCAAGGGACATGTAATTTTCAAAGGTTTTCATACTTTTCAGCTGCAGACTATGCAGTCATTTGCAATATTTTCCATTCTCAGTGAATGTGATATAACCATCTTCCCGGAACAATATAGCTATGAAAGTGCTTGGTTCCTTAGTAAGAATGTCTAAAGGACCTTCATTTCATTAGAAGTTTTTTGTCACTCAGTGAAGCGTCTGTCCTGCTTATACACAGCTCTCTTTTACAGAAGAAAGAGTGGGATTGGGATGACAGCAAGCTACTGGTGATGCATGACCCAATCTACAGGTAAGAGTTGTGAGTAAGAAAAGCATGGGTTAGCAGCCTCAGTATTTGTCCCTGGGAGAAGGAAAAGTTAATTAGCAGTGTGCATATTATAGGCAAGTCTCCAATAAGGTTCTATTTTGCAGACAGGACTATTGAGAACAATATCAATAGTACTGGGACTTCATGAAACAAACAAAACGTTAAAAGTTATATTTATATAGTTACTTACCAAGCACATCAAAATTATATTGAAGTAACCAAAATGTCTTTATGATCCCCAAGGCCCTTTTGAGTACCCCTGTTTGGAAATTGAAAGTTGAAAAATTTGACACGCACTACTGCTTCATAGTGCTTTATAGAACTCTCTGGTTTAGAGTCAGCATATTGCCCCCAACAATGTGGGTCCTCATTTTATCGACCTTGAAAGGATGGAAGACCATAGCTCTTAGAGGGTTTAAAGAAGGTAGAAACTGCTGGTAGATAGCTAATCTTTACATGGATTTGTCTCTCTTTCCCCAGATCATTTTGTTCCAGGTTGTAGTATATTTGAACTCTGCACACAGTCCAGAATGAATCCAGATTGGGACCTGAGACCAAGCTAGCACTTGGCAGAGATTTCTAGGCCTTGATGTGACACTTTGAAGGATAGTTTCTATTTCAGTCTTCCCTTTTCACCAGTCCAACTTCATACTTTAGGACATGAGCACTGTACATGCAGAAGTATTTGTAGGAGAACTAATAATCCTTTGGATGGAATTCTGGAATTCATATTATAATTCTGTCATGCCACAGCTATAACTTGCATGAGAGAAAATATTAATTGGTAACTGACTACATGCATTTTAAGAGTCAACCAGTTCACTAAACAGAAATGGTTAGCATTGGAATATTATGCCAGAGAATTAATCATATTAGATGGTAATAATGTATCCTGATTAATAAAATATCTGGTTAAAAAATGTGTAAGTGGTAGAGTAAAGGAAATAAATAAATTGCAAAATGGTAGTATTGGAAATACATTATTTTATTTGCCAGTGTTAATTACAAACAATCAATGAGAACTCATACCTTGACTTGGCTTGCTTTTTTCCAAGACAGTGACAGAATAGTTTGTTTTCTATGTGACATATAGAAAATATTGCATATATAGTTCTGCTATTTTTGCAGGATATTTTATGTGTCTCACGATTCGCAGGACCTGAAGATCTTCAGTTATATTGCAAGGGATGGCTCCAGTAACACCTTCCGCTGTAATGTTTTTAAGTCCAAGAAGAAGGTATGTTGCAAGTTGACAAGATACAAGCTTAGGGCCTCTTATAAATCCCTCTAACAACTGAAGGTCATCATCCCACTCTGGATATTGTGCATAGTTTATATCTCTATTTTCTAAGAGTCTATTTACATGGGAATTGTAAACAGGTTTTCAGTATTTTCCTCATGTTGGGTGGAGGAGATTACGTGCTGTGGGAAAGGAGCTGTCAGGCTTCCAGTTAACACACCCAACAGAATCAAAACTCCAAGGCAAGCATATTTCTCAAAGTATAGATTTATTAGGTATGTCATATTGACATATCTGGAGAAAACCTGAGGTTTTCCCCACCCAAATCAAACCCCAAAGTTCAGGTCACACATCCGTCACATGGGCCAACCAGGTCTCCCATGCCTCTCCAGCACCTGGTAGAGCATCCATGGGAACAAATGTTGTTGTGGTTATATATCCCCAGCTATCTCTGTCTCCCCACTTATGTTCCCACAGCTCCAACTGGCCTTGCTATGGCAGCCCTGAAGGTGCTCCTAAAATGGTTTCATCTCAAAATAGCTTCGGGGCTAACAGGAGCTTCTTTGTACTTTCTAAGCAAGATTTTTATTTATGCTCTGTGTTGATGATACTTGAAACAATGTATTTCCTCCAGCATCTTTCCTCAACAGCTGGTGAAATAGCTAGTAAGAAGACATCTGGAAACAAAGGTCGAAAGTGAAAGTGCCTGACAAGATGGAGGACTTATATACTCTTCTCTTACAGAGCAATGAGTTAAAATGGTGGCAGCGGAAGCAGTATCAAATCACAGGGAGAGAAGTTACTAAATTAATTAAGAAAATATAAGGAGAAAGGGGAAATGGAGAAAAAAGAAGCAGAAAGTTAGATAACGACGATAGAAGGGATAAAGGAAAAAAAGAAATTGGGGTAAGGACAAAAACACCAGCAAAACAGCAGCGCACCAAATGAATGGCTGACTTGGAGGCAGCTGGCAACAGAGAATAGATCCAGCTCAGGAGCCCAACTAAGCAGCCCAACGCTGGAAAAGAGGCAACTGAGAGTAGTGAGCCAGCAGCTGAACAGCAGGCAAGAAGGGAGGTTGTGGGAGGCAGCGAACTGGTAACATTTGGTAATTAACTAGACCCATACTCCAGTCTAGGCAGCCCAGTTCAAGGGGGCAGCCAGGCATCCCAGGGCTCAGGGCCCAGCAAACTAGAGGCAGCCCAACTACCACAGCCATCCCCCTTCGAATTTCCAGCCTGACCTGCTCCAGGTGGAGGAATTGTGGAGGATTTTATCCCTCCCCAGTGAGATCAGCAGACACTCCCCCACCTCCTGCTAGCCCGGCAGCCCTTCTCAGTGACCCATGTGGAGGAAGATAAAGGGACTGGAGCAACCCATCAACAAATGAAAACAGTGGCTGAGAAATTGGTGGTGGCAGAATCAGAGGAGGGGAGAAACACAACAGCAGAATTGGTGGAGGGGAAATCGTACCGTGTTTTCCTGGAAATAAGTCCTACCCTGAAAATAAATCTTAGCCCAATTTTCACAGCTGTGCCTAATATAAGCCCTACCCCCCCAAAACCCCTAGTTAAGCCCCGCCCACTCCATCCCATCTGGTTGCTCACAGCCTCAATGGGGCAGGAAGATGTATGGAACTGCCATAAGATGAGGCGAGGCAGGTGGTGAGATGACCACTGAGCTAAACGATTGGTGTAGCCAATAAAATTTTGGTTTCCTGGACCATGGACTGCATTACCTAAAAGAAGGTGTCAAATGTTCCAGAAAACCCCAACTCCAATTAAAAACTCGGAGATAGATATTTTCTCAAAATTCCTTTTATTAGAGTAGGCATACTGGCACATCTGGGAAAACCCAAATATGAAAGTTCTGGGTTTTCCTCCAATTAGTAAAAAATTACAAATCCACCCCCTGCACCCATCATTCCATCACATGCCCCAATCACCATCCGTTCCAACTTGAGACATCCCCTCTACTACTCCTTAGCCAGGTGCAGGAACAACATGACTTTGACTTTAAAGAAGAATGCTATTATGTCTAACTACATACACTCCATGAAATTTCCCCTCCCATCTTCCCACGCTCAAGAATGTGACAGTGTGGAAGCTTACGGCGCTAATATGGTTTCCAAAGCTGACAGAAGGGCTCTTCTTGGCAAGCGATGGGCTGCACCTCATGAAAACAGGGAAAAATGTACTTGGGGAGGGGGGACTGGCCCAACTCATCAGAAGCGGGGTGGATGACCAATCTTAAAGAGTTTCTAAAACACAAAACACAACATAAATTCCAAGAAAAATCAAACAATGAGATAGGGAATGATGAGAAAAAAGAACTGGGAGACCAACTCGGCAGCGAGTGGGAGATCAAACAGATTCCTGACCAACCTAGCCAACAACCTTATCATCTATAAGATAGAGGAGGAAACTAGAAGTAAGGCCATACTGGACCTAATTCTAACTAATAGAGAAGTGTTAAAGGGAGTTGAATTTGCAGGAACATTTGGTGAAAGTGACCACATCATACTGGACTTCCATATAATGCAAACACAAGCAATATAAAATAATCCAACAGTGTCTTAAACTTTAAAAGAACTGATTTTAAGAAACTCAGAGGAAAGATTCCATGGATGAAAATCCTAAAAGGGAAAACAACTCAAGAAGCATGGGAAACTATATATCTATAGAAAAAAAAAAGAATTAGGGGTAACATGATAGCTGTATTCCAATATTTGAGGGGCTTCCTCAAAGAAGAGGGGGTCAACTTGTTCTCCAAAGCACCAGATGGCAAAACAAGAAACAATGGTTGGAAGCCAGTCAAAGAGAGAAGCAACCTAGAAATAAGGAGAAACTTCCTAAGGACAATTAACCAGTGGAACAGCTTGCCTTCAGAAATCATGGGCGCTCCATTGCTGGAGGTTTTTAGGAAGAAACCACAGTCTCTTATCTAAAATGATATAGATTCTTCTGCTTGAGCAGAGGGCTGAAGACCTCCAAAGTCCCTTAAAGCTCTGTTCTGTTTTGTTCTGTTCTATTTTTATTATTTCTATTTCTATTCTAAAATATCTCACTTCTCTTAATTAAAAAGTGAAACTATCTAACTTTTAGCAGATGGCTTATTATCATCTGTGATCACCACTTAGTCAGAAAGTTTTATTTTTTTACAGGGAAAATAGAACTCACAGTATCTTTTATTGGCAGGTAAAACTTGGCCTCTACAGAAAACTCTCTTTCATCCTGTTGTTTCACTCTCCTTTCCCAGAAACTCCAAATTCTACATTGTGGCCCTGTGTTTTTGTCTTGATGTAGCTGCTTGGTCTTAACTGCTGCCATTATTTGTCTTTTAGGGGGATGCCTTTACCTGCTCTCCTCCTCTTTAACTCTGAGGTGTGGGATGGATAAGGATCCTATATTCTGTGCCCTCACTAGCAAATAACAACAACCCAAGCAAATAAAATTATAATGCATTTTATTACACCACCTCCCAGGACTATAGTGTGTGATGTGTGATTAGGGCATGATGGGGTATCTCATGATAGATAGCAATGATGATGTTCATCCATCGTGTTTGAAGAGGACCTTGACATCAGGTTGCGGGCTGTCCACAGTGTGTCTGCAGGTGGCTGATAAGGTCTATACGGGCACAAAATGTTCTGCCACGTCAGGCAGACGTGTGGGCACCATTGTTGCAACATTTGTAGCTCTGGCTTTGCGGAGTGCTCGCTTCTCTTGTGGTATGGTTGTTATTCTGTCTGGCAGCCTTGATGGGTCAGTGTGCGCCATGTCGATTTTGTGCCAGGGTTTCCCAGGAGGCAGTGTCAATATCCAGGGACTTGAAAGAGGCTTTCAACATGTCTTTGTATCACTTCCTTTGTCCCCCATGCAATCGCTTTCCTTGAAACAGCTCACCATAGAGGAGCTGTTTAGATATACAGTGGTCTGGCATCCTTGCAACATGGCCTGCCCAGCGTGTCTGGGTTTTCATCAGCAGGGTGTGAACTAATGGCAGGCCTGCTCTGGATAGGATTTCTGTGTCTGGCACTTTGTCCTGCCACCAGTCCTCAGAAGTCTGTGGAAGCAGGTCATGTGGAAGTGGTTCAATTGCCAAGCATGCCTCCTGTATACAGTCCAAGTCTCACTGGCATGGATCAGGGTAGTTAGCACTACTTCTCGGTAAACTTCGATCTTTGTAACAAGGCTTATTCCATGGCAGTCCCAAACGTTGGTCAGTAGTCTGCCAAATGCAGAGCTTGCCTTGGCAATTCTGCAGTTGACCTCAATGTCAATTGTCACTGTGCGGGAGAGGGTGCTGCCAAGGTATGTAAATTGGTGTTGGGCTTTCGGAGCTGGCTGATGCATCACTTCGGTCTTCTTTGTGTTGATGAGGAGGCTGAAGTTGCCGCATGCTGCTGAGAATTTGTCCACACTGGCTTGCATTTCCTGCTCTGATCCAGCATTCAGGACACAGTTGTCAACAAAAAGGAAGTGTGTCCTTTATCTTGTGACAGCTTGGAGTCTTCACAAGTTGAACAGTTTCCCATTGGTCCTGTATCTCAGGCTAACACCCAAGGAACTGTTCTGGGAAAGCGTCTGACAGCATGGCTGAAAAATTTATGCTGAACAGGTTTGGTGCCAACACACAACCTTACTTGATGCCATTTGTAATGGGAAAGACCTCTGAAGCTTCTCCGTCATCCAAAACAGGAGCCATATGCTGTCAGGGAACTGACATACCATTAGGATGAATCTGTCAGGGCACCTAAATTCAACATGATGCACCACAGACCTTCACAACTGACAGGGTCAAAAGCTTTGGTGAGATCCACAGAGGTGTTGTACAATTCATGATTCTGCTCTTGACACTTCTCTTGGAGCTGTCATGTCTGTTAGGAATATAAGTCACCTAACAGTTATTTGGGTTGGAAATATATAAACTAGGATAGACATTTTAATACTGTATCTTTAAGAAAATGCAAAAACTGTAATTGGGTGTGGTTTCTC